AAGCGGAGAGGGGCAGCCGTGGGCTCGCCCCTCCTGAACGTCCCACGCGAGGTCGTGGGCATCAGGAGAAGCAAGGCAGGGATGCCCTAGGCTGTAGGAAAGTCTCAGGGATGCGTATCCCTGGTCGACCAGCCTGCAAACACACACGCTGGGTCCCTGCCTTGCCACCACCACGAGCACCCAGCAGGTCTACCCCGTTACCTGTCCTGCCGATGCCAGCGCTGCAGTGCACCACGACCGGGGGTCCCCCCGGGTGCCCCTTGAAGCGGGGGCCCAGGGCACTGACTGCCACCCTCTGCTGCTGCTTCACAGCCCCCAGAAAGTCGATGAGGGTGGCTGCAGAGGAGGGGACACCGTAGTCTGGCCAGCTCAGGTACTGGAAGTGGGACACCAGCCGCCGCTCCTTGGTCTGGGGGGGGGGAGAGCAGGGGGGTTAGACCCTCTCCCCTCCTCTGCTCCTGGCCACAGCAGGGTCTCACCCCTGTGCCATCCTCTACCAGGTTCCTGCACCCACACACCTCCGAGCTGTGGATCTCCAGGATGGTTTTCTTGTAATGGTTGAGGTTCTCCACGCCCAGGTTGGTGATGGTCAGGGCCCCAAAGCACACCTGGAAATCCTTCTCCAGAGGCCAGTACTGGCCGCACTTTCTCCTGCCACCCTCCTCCAACCTGGGAGCAGGAGAAGGACAAGCTGGTGATGACATGGCCCACGCCACCTGGCCTTGGTCCCTTGGGGATCCCACAGGGACAAACAGCCTGTCCCTGGCGTGGTGTTCCCACCCCACGGGCTCTGGCTGGCACCATGGCTGCAGGGTCACTGCAGTGCTGCTCATCCAACGTTTTGTAAGGGAACACAGGGCTGTGCCCTGCTCCTGGGCACTCACCGCGTTGTCATCACGATCACCAGGACGTTTTGCTCCCACACCATACGCCAGAAGTCACCATAGGTGTTTTCCAGAGGCCCTGCGGGGACATCCTGCACATCAGCCCAAAACCTGACGGGTCTGGATAAAAGCCCCTTCACCCAGCAGCCTCCTCCAGCCTCCCTGGGAGGGGAGTGGGTCACAGCCCCTTCCCATGGGGACCCACCCCAGTGAGGAGCCACCAGCCCCACATGGAGCTGCCACCGACTGCCCTTTTCCAGGAGAAGCTCTGGTCTCCCCTGGCTGGCAACTGGGAGGGGAGCCAACACTCCCAGAGAGGAGTGGGACTTGCTGGGCAGGGAGATGAAGCCCCTTCATGCATCAGGAGCCAAAAAACAAAGCCCCCTCGGAGGCTGGGGCTGTACCCTGAGTCCCGATGTAGGCGTTCCTCTGCTTGTAGCCATCCATGAAGCTGGCGTTGATGTAGTCAGTCAGCTGTGGGGGGGAAGCAGGCACAGCCTGAGCCCTCTGGACTCCCTGGTTAGGGTGGCCACAGTGTCCCCCCCGCTCCCCGCAAAGGGACCCCCAGTTTCCCCCCTGGACTGGCTCACCTCGGGGCGGCTGTAAGGCTTTGCCAGCTTGACCCGGGTCTGGTCCAGGCAGGGCACGTCCCCGTACCGGTTCTTCTCCTGGTTGTAGGGTGCCCTGGGAGGCAGGGGAGAAGGAAGTTGGGATGTTTTCCAGGCGGGAAGGACAAGGCAGCATTCCTCCTCCCCCTGCACAAGACTCTGGCGCCCGGAGCCTGGGCTCTGCTGCCATCACCTGGCCAAAGCCTCGGGAAGAGAGTCCCAGCCAGGTCCTTGTCCCCACTGTCCCCTCCTCAGCTCCCCTCACACCCCCGGGGGCTGCAGGAGCTGCCAAGCATCGCCGGGCTGGTCCATTGCTGACCCAAAGCACCACAGCCCAGGGTGGCAGGTGGGCCAGCACCCAGCAGCAGAAGCAGGGGGGAGGAGCCCAGCTTTCCTGGGGCAAGAGAGGGACCCCCACCCTCCCC